TACAGAAGAAATGTGGATAGAAAAAGCTAAAGAATATCAGGATATATGGCAATTTCCAAATTGTATAGGCGCAATTGATGGAAAGCATATTGGACTTCAGGTATATATAATTGATGTACTATCACAAACGATCTTTTGCCTTTGTAAATTACCCTTGTTTTATTATAGACTCCGCCACATAGTGGTTCAACATTTTATAATTACAGAAATATGCACAGTATTGTGCTTATGGCACTTGCAGATGCCAATTGTCGTTTTACAGTAGTAGCAACTAAAATGTTATTACACAAGTATTATTTTTCTTACTGTCGATATTCTAGTGTATCGTTCAAAAACGTCATTACATTGTAATAACGAAAAGATGGCTTGATAACTTCGGTTTTCGCTGCACCACTTCTTTGTATAACATCTTGTTGCTTCTTGAACAAATTTCTAGCTTTTCTAAAACAATCTTTTAAGTAATTCCACTGTTTTTCCGCATCTATAGGTGTGTACAATCCCATGACATACAATTTGTTTATAATTATATATATATATTTTTAATTAGAATGTGTTTATATATAACAAATATATATGTACTTTTGAGGTTTTCATGGGTATTTTCTTCAAAAATGCTAGAGGATTTGTAGATTATTGCTGTGTCGAGATCCATTGATAATGACGTTTTGTAAACCTTGCAATTAGCTTTATCTGGACAAACAGCACACTGTTGAAATAAATTGCAAGATTTACGAAATGTTGGCATTATCAATGGATCACGATATGGCGATAACCAAACCCTTTGGCATCTTCAAAATATACATGTATAAACAAATCTATATAAATCATACCTTTCAAATATTCACTGATTTCTTTCCATGAAGCATCTTTATGTTTTCTTCCTCTTTCTTTTAAAGGCAGGCGAAAATCATAAAGAGCAGGTCTGCTTTTTACCGCTGCTATCAAGTCTTCGTCTAGTTGTTCTTTATTGCAGCCAATATTATTTTCTTTATTACAGTCAGTCTCATTTTCTATAATAATTATATTTACCAATAAAGGATCTATAAAATTTACTAATACTACATTATAAATATTTATTTTACCTGCTATGAAAATGTTCCTATCGTTATCTATATATATTAAATTATTATCTATATCAGCAAAACAAGAATGATCAAAAATTTGGCACTCTTTTAAGCACCAACCACAATACATACATTTTAATTGTTCAATAAGTAATAATTGTATTCGGACTCTCAAATTCAAAACAATTTAAAAGTATGACTAAATTAGGCTAGTGAGAGTCAAGCAACGTTGAACGGCGCAAAGATAGGTGAAAACCATACTCAGATGTTAGCTTAAAGTCTTCTGTATTTGGACGTTTCGACTCTCTTTGGAGTCATCCTCAGCAATAAAGATACAATCTAATTGACTTATATGTCCTCGATGATTAAGTCACTCGCAAATTGGCAAGGATGCAGCGTTGTTAATCTAACAATTATACAAATTTCTCATTAGATAATGTCTGAGTTTGCAACATTAATCGACTTACCACCATAGGACATGAAGCGTGTCGCGAAGCCATGTAATAATCATAAGAACTCACAATTATATATAAATTTGAATAATATCGACATGTTCAACTGTCAGTATACATTGACATGTCGCTCGGAATTGAGTTGTTCTCGATGTAAGAGGTCAACA